AATATCCTATAGCTCTCAAACATTTTTGGGGACTTAAACTTATAATAATCAAATGTCTTTTAAACAATGGTTTTCTTAAACTTACCCATTCACCCTACAATAGGTCATGTTTTGTTATCCTATTTGGTTCCTGATCCCTTATATCCTGTTAGTTAATTTTTTCACTGTAACTATCTTAATTCTCTCTGGCCTCAGCTGTTTAGTTAAACATAAGACTCCTGTAGGTCTAAGATCTTCTGTCACTTATAGTGACATAGCCATGGCCCTCCCCACTCCTACTTTTTAATTTCCCAAACATGATTCAACTATATTTCTCATGCTTCTTGTTCTTTCCAATTCAAATCCCGAGCAAAGACAAGTCCTAGCTACACTTTTAACTTTTACCCTTCCAGATGGGGGAATAATTATCCCTCAAAACTCTACCTCCCCCAACTCCATGCCTATTTTTCAGATTCTTCCTCACCATGACCCTGATGGAATGACACATTTTGATCACTTTTCCTTCTACATTTCCTGGATCTTTTAATTACAACAGTGATCTATCACCTCACAGCACCTTATGTTTTTTTATTTCTTTAATCTAGGATGCAAACATTCACCAATGATTAATTTCTTGTCCCGGCTGAAACACTTGGTACCAGCTTCTACATGGGAATCAACCGTCATCCCTTAGACTCCAGCACAACACCCCTGCCCAGCAGGAAGTAGTAAGAGACAGTCTTTGCCCTTTTCCTAACAATACAAAGATAGGAATGAAAAGTTCTTGCCCTAATATAAGTTCAATTATGGTGGTGGTCTAACATGGTGGAAGGCCAAGGTGGTAACACTTACCACTTCCTGCTTCTTCTTCAGCCCTAATTGCAACTCCCCTTCCTGCTTGCATGCACAGAGAATTCCAATCAGTTCCTCTCACATCATCAATATTCACCCCATGTGCCACTTCAATCAAGGTCATGTAATTCTCTGCCTCTCTGTATCTGGTCAAAGGAGATAGCCCAGCAGCCATGGGTTGTGTTTGCTTTCCACATCTTTGACTCAATAAATCTGTTCATTTTTATACTTTTGCTTCTCTGTTGGGCCAGAATACTCTAACAGTAACTGACAACCAATAAGATTACAAGTATAACCACTTAGGTATACTGATCCAGTGGGAAATCAGGTCATACAACAAGTGCACATGAAAAGAATGGGTCTTTCTGAGAAGAGATGGATCAGGAGATCGTGGTCAACCACTGGGATGACTGATATCTATCTAGTCTTTAGTGGACCAAGTGATACCAATTATAGTGTAATCTTCAACTTACTGCTAATTCCTCAGGGAAGCATATAGGTTGGTTAGTCTGTCTTTATCTCAAGGCCTGACTTTTGACAGATGTGCCTCCAGCCACAGTTGTAATGTATTCTCATCTTCTGCACTGACTCCCACAAGGGCCTAACTATCCAATTGCCTATAATATTTCTACCTAACTTAGATATCTATAATATTTATATGGGCCTTTGTCTTCAACATCTGATAATTCCTAAAACCTTCAATCCAATTATAAATTGTTGAGGTTAAACTTTTTTCTTTTACTGCACAGTCTCTGGAAATTTAAGGACAGAAGCCTGCCCTACCTTGGCAAAAATAATATTCACTGAGTATGAGATCTCCTTAAAATTTACACCCCAGCAATGTTGAATCATCTCATTAAGTTCTCACAACAATTTATGTTGGGATTCTCTCTGCTCTCCCCCATGGGATGGTTGACAATTTTGAAGTCTATGTAATTTCTCTCTGAGTAATGCATTTAAATGCATAAAGTACAACATAGAAATTGCAAAGAAAACTGTTTTCCAACTTTTAAAGGGAATAATCAAAGTACTTAAGAAAATTTATGATACTAAAATGTATAGACATTTATATACATTGAATAAGACATAGCAGGGGCTGGGAATTTAGCTCAGTGGCATAAGCGCCTGCCTTGTAAGCAGGCAGTCGTGAGTTCGATCCCCGGTACCAATAAAAAGAAAAAAAAAAAAAAAAAAAGAAAGAAAGAAAGAAAGAAAAAAGACATAGCAGTAGTTCTTTTAACTACTCTACTAAAAAAAAAAAAAAGAATTGAGATTTCATGACACCAGACTAACAGTTCTGATGCTGTTATTCCTAGAAGTAACAAGCAAATAGAGGACAGCAGAACACTCTCTCACTATTGGATTGGGAATTTACAGAATAGTAAGAGGAAGAGGATAGAATGGTGTCTGTATTAATAAGAGCTGGAGATATCAGTATGCACCCACATAGTTTTCAGATATTTACACATAGAGAATTACATATAGAAATATTTATAGATTTGTGTATCTGCATGGGTAGTACATACATATATATCTTTGTTCCCTTGATTGAGAAAGGCTAAATAAAACAAGGTCCCATCAACAATATACCTACATGGAGCCCAGATCTTGGTTTTTATTGCCTTTCTTCAATAAATGGAGCAAGGAATTTTTAGCAAACTAGCTGATTCTAGGACTAGGAAGGTAATATATTTTATGAGCCTGAAGCATCTTGCCATATGAAGAAATTTTGGGCACATACACAATAATATTAAAAATTGCAGGAGGTAGATAAAAAGAACAGAGGCACCAAATGAGAGTTTCTAGGAGCCAAAATTAGAATAATTCAATGACAAAATAAAATAATAATAGATTATTATCCAAAGTATAAGTCCAAAAGTATATTCAAAAGTATCCAAAGTATATTCATATCCATGAATATATAATGACAGAAATAATTAATTAATTAATTAATATTTGGGGAGAATGGACAAGTCTAACAGAAGAATTTCAAAACTTTTTGTACATACCCTCAAAGAGATTGAACATAATTCCTATGCATTGGGTCTGGGCTACACATGATGATTTGCTTCCAATAAATATACAGCATTTAAGAGACAAGCTATTACTTTACAAAAAAGACATCTGCTAAATAGTGCCTCAGCAAAATGGAAAAGTTGATACCAGTATCCGTGAGCCACACTGATAGCATACAGTCTTGACAGAATGTACGAAAAGGGTACTTTTCCTGTGTGGTCCTCCTCCCAGGAACCCATAACCTTAGTCTTATCCCAAGAAAAACATCAGACAATATGCATCCTATTAATGTAACGTAGTACTCCAGATGGAAATGTTTGGATCAGAATTAAAGATTATAGGTAAAAATCAGAGAAACTTCAAAAAAATACAGATTTTAGGCAGCAATGATGAATCAGCATTAGTCCAATAATTTTGACAAAGGTATCCTGTTACCTACCATAAAATATTAATAAACAGAGAAAATTGGGAGTAAGATGTATGGAAACGCTCTGTACTACTCCATTTTTTTTATAAATCAAAACCATTCAAACTATAAAGTAATGATTTGACTACAAGAGAATAGTGAAATTTTAAAAAACTATAAAAATTCCACTGGAAATTATGTGTAAATTCCATGGGTGAGAAATCAAAAATACTTTTATGTATTTTTATCATATTTATATGTTAAAAAGCCATGCTAAATTCTAGATTTCAGTTAGTGATTATTGAAACTAAAGATGTAATTTTGCCATTCAAGTTCTGTGCTCTAGAATTACATTCACATTCTCCTTTGATACAGATTAAGAATCCCCTGCTCTATGGTAATATTACTGACTTAATTTTATAAAGTGAAGCTCAGAGAAATGAACTGACTTATTCTGGCTTCCAAAGAACATGTACTTAAGGGCCAAAAGTTCTAAGTTTTGTTGAAACTCTGTTAGGTAAACTACTCCCTAGTTTTGGAGCTGATAAACAGAGGAAAGGGAAAGTTTCATTAAGTGAAGGTGATTCCATGTCCTTATGCAGTTCTACTCTTTAAGCTGTTGGCCAGATTCCCAGCATCAAACTGGCCTGGATCTAACCAATGGACAATTCCAAGAAAGCAAGTTAAATGAGGAAAAGCTACCCTTGCAGAACTCTAGGGTCAAGGAACCTCCCTACTTGGAAATGAGTCAATTGGGGAAGAAACTCTGGCTCTGCTTCAAAAGAGAACAAACCCTAGGCCTTTTATTCTGCAAACACTCAGCTTCCAAATTGTTGATATGGTCAGTGATACTGCAAGAAGCAAAGAGAGGGAAAGAGGGGAAAGAGAGGAAGACAAAGAACAATCTTATTAATAATAATTTGCGTCATTTAAAGGAGAAATGCTTTTATATCCATATATGCTTATTTGTTTACTAAGGCAGATTCTGATAAATCTTGAAAGAAAGAAAGAGTTACAGTCATCTGTTAATGTGGCTTCTGTCTCTTAGTTTCCAAACATTGTAGTTATCACCAAGAGCAGTCTGCCCAGTTGAGGGGTGGGGGAGCAGAGAAAGGGAAGAGAATGAGGGGTGTTAGAGAGAACATCTGTCCACTGGCACACAGCCATGCAGTAAGGACATCCTAGGGTAACCCTCTTCTGTTTCCTTGGGTACCGTCTCTGATCACTTCTCCATTCCTTTGGGAGATTCCCGCGTATTACGTAGGTGAGAAAGCGTTCATGACTGGGAGTGGTTTGGCTGTGTGTATGTACCCAAGTACTGTTTGTCTTATAGTGAGATACAGCACGCTAAAAAGGGGCTTGGACAGATTGATTGCCAATTTAAAATATTTTCGGAGTATTTGAATGTTTATCTCAAAAGACAAGCACTGGTCTCAAATTCGGGCAAATGAACAATACTGATAGGGATGATGAAGAGGGTGGGAAACCCACATCATCGAATGGAGCTGTCCATGCAGTCCGGATGACAGGGGAGATCTTGGAGGAAAGACACGCTGCAGCGGAAGTCTCTGCGGCTTTTCTCCTTAGGTCTACAATCCAAGAAATACTGCATCTGTAAAGGCATTGTTAGAAAACAAACCTAGAGCCTAGCGAGGGTAATGTAAGTGGGCCCAGTTGCCAGGCAGCCGTCCCCGGGTCCCTCTCCCCCCGCGGCTCGTGCGGAATGTAGTCATCCGGCGGGGGATGACTTCATGCAGCCGGAGCTTGGCGGCAGGATCTGCAGCTGCAGCTGGCAGGTGGGGTGGGGGTCGGCGGGAGCTGACCACGCACACGGCCCAGCTCCGCGGGACCGCGGCCCGGACTTGCGGCCGCGGGGGACACGCACTGACTCGTCCAGGGGAAGGTAAGCAATCCAGCTATTATTAGCCTTGGTCACACTGGTGCTTTCCGCTCGATTAGCCATGGAGTTTGCAGTAGAATGGGAATAAAGGGATAATAAGCATGCTACATTCTGCATTGGGAAAAGGAGCAACAACTGGGGTTGAAATGTTAATCAGCCAAGTCCTGGAGACAGGAAGAGCAGTGTTTCTGGGCAAACAAAGAAAGCGTTCAGCCACTATATTCTTTGAAAGGTGATAGACCATTTCAGTGCCAGATTCGCTTAGATACTGAAGAAGATTCCAAGTTGCTCCTTTACCTTCCTGCCTTTCCCGCCCCTGCCCCTAATTTTCTGGTTTTGGACCAGCAGGTCTCTAGCTGCAATCAGGGGGAGTAATTAGGAATCTTCCCTTTGTACCGTCCTGGGTCCTCATCTCCCCGTGCATCCTATTAGGTTGGTGCTCAACAGAGCGTTTAGAAAGAGTCTCTAGGTGGAGGAGAAACTTCCTTATCTCCCGAAATTGAGCCAGGTTGAAGCAGAACTTGGCATTGTTTCTCTCTTCATTTACCATCTTCTTTGTCAATCATTTATTTCATTGAGCTTTTTCGGAGACGCTGTGTCCATTCCCTCGCCAACTCCTGTCAGCTCGTCTCTATGGCCCCAGTTCCATGGCTGATTTTGTGAAGGACCCAGAAAGGACACTGCTCCTACAAGGTTTCCTTTTGAGTATTTCTCCCTACCATCACCTGTGTCCTTTCCACAAATACATAGAAGGACTGATTCTGCTTTTAGCTGGTACTTTTAACATGGTTTCCCATAACTCTTTCTTGCAGTCACTCTGGCTGACTACCAGAAGGCTTGAGAGGATAAACAGAATATACTAGGGTGTGAAGCATGCTCCCTTGGCTTACAGAGGTGGAAATAAAAATGTAAATGGAAATCTATTCAATTTTTCTTTATGCAATTTTTTACCTACCTGGGTTGTGACACAGTTGGTTGTTAGGATTTAGGGCAAGTTCTCAAAAAGCACAGAGTGTGTTTGTCCTAGGCTAAAAACCTCAAAAGTTTCTGAGAACCTTTCAACAGTAGTCAGACAGAAATCCAATGGAGTCACCCAATCTAAATCTCAGGTTCCTTGAACATCTTTAAGCCTGTCTACTTATTAACAGATTTGTACCACTAGTCTTAGGGTTTTCCCCACGACCACTTGCTCTGAGCTCAATTTCTTATTCTTATTGCCACCTAGGGATGTACATTTGAGTAATATGCTTTGAAAGATGGTTAAGATGGCTGTTGTGGGGATTGCAAATATGCCACTTCACCAACAGAGCACTGTTGCCATAAGCTAGATTGTGGGGTGTCTGTGTGCCAGCACTCTTAAAATGAGATCTGTTGTCTTTAAACTTGAAATTAGACAGTCTGACCCCCAACTTTGTATTTTAACAAATTAAACTAGATCAATGAAAAAGAAGGGATGCTTTATAGCTAAATATTGAACATTGCTTACCTTCCTTTTTCTATATTGCATTAGGACAAAGATACTGGTTCTAAAAAAATCATGTCAATTTTAGTATATATTTATGTTGCTTTTTTTGTTTTCAGATTATCTTTTTATACTATACACGTTAGAACTATTTAAATTTTTTTCTTTGTCTCTACTGTCAGTATGTGAGGTAAGGAAGTAGAGGAGGTAAGTAAACCTCTACAAAATAACCCACTCAATTAACTGTATTCTGGGATTTTGAAGCACTCACTATCCTTTCTAAAAATATATTATTAAAATTTAATATTATACTGTATTATATGTTGAACATGGCTTGTTTTTGAAACACCAACTGTTTGTGATTCTGTAATTGTGACACAACAATTAGGAGGTAGAGTAAAAGATCAAAAACAAAACCTTCTATTCTGTCACCTTTTCTTTCTAACGTTAAATACTTAACCATACGAATGATAATTCTAAAAAAGCAGCAACTATCAATGAAATCATTCTTTTTAATAAACTAGCTCAAGTTATGTGAAACACAGGGCATATAAATGATATCAGAAGTGCAATAAAATTTATTATATTGAGTAATCTTACTGTTGAAGAGCAGTGTATGAAAATAACAAAATGAGGATTAGAAATCGAGAGTGTCTAATATTTGGTTTCTGAAGAAACTAACTTCTTTGATAAGAAATGGGTGAGAATTAAAGGGCCCAGTGATACTCAAACTGGTGTAATACCTGCCAATGACTTTGCAAGTGACATTAATCCAATAAATTATGGAATTGAGTTGAGGAAACCTTAATAGAAAGAAAGGAAGTGGTACAACTGAAGAATTACCATTGTATTATATTTAAACAGTTTTCAGCAAAGTTTCTGAATTCAGAGATCTAAGCAGAAATTTGGTTATTTTTTTTTAAACTGGAATTGATTTAATTTCCTTTGCTTTAAATATTCTTAGGGCAATGAAACATTAATTGGTTGGTATTTAGAAATGGAAAATGAATCAGTATGCATGATTAGGTACTAAATGAACTGTGGATACTTCTATAGGTTTCACAAGATAAAATTGAAGTCTGTTGTTGAATAAAAATCACATGAAATAAAAGTCTTAAGTCTGGTGCGCAGTCAATATCCTCTGCTTGGCTAGTGGGTATAAATTTAGGGGACACATTTGGTGTCATAGCAAAAGAGCATTTTATGGTTATGTGTTACTGTCATTAGCTAAGTTGGAACAGTTTTATCTTGAGATTTTGAAAAATGGAAGAAAAAGTACAAATAATGGTAAGGTTGAAGAAGAAATATCATTTCTATTTAATGTCTTCAATGAAAATGAATAGAGAAAATGTGCTATTTTGAAAGTTGCCAATGACCTCTTCGTAGTTGAAACTTTCTATAATATTTCACCCTGTTCAGTATTGTTAAGTAATATGGATAAAAAAATGTGGTATCTCTTGATCTAGTTTCTCCCAGTGTTACAGCACTCCATTCCTAGCCTAACTCAAGTGGCATTTATTTCGTTTGTGCCTCATGATGTCATGTCTATTTGTTTTTGTTTCTTCTTTAGCTCATCCTGCTATACATTAAATATTGTTCATACCTAACACTACCTCTTCCACGGAACTTTCCCATATCAACTTTTCTTCTCTGTCAGATATATTTTCTTCTTCCTTATCTAAATTCCTGCAGCTCTTTCAAGTGTTGGTTTATCCTTTCATATAAACCCGCTTTGTCTGCTATTTCAATATAGTACTATAGAGTAGGGTTGGGACTGACAACTTTAAATTTCAGCAATCCACAGCACAATGTAGATAGGTTGCAGATTAGATATAGCACAATTTGATTTCAGTAAAGAAATGAGTCATTTCTGAATCGATCTATCTACTCTTCTACACCAGATGAGTTTTGACTCTTAAAATCTGTAAATATTCTAATTTGGATTTTTTACATCGTTATATAAAAGTAAATACCATCACGGTACAGTCAAATAACTAACTATATTAATAAAAAGAGTGTTGTGAATTTACATCCCTTTTAATGTACAATTGCTCATATATATTTAGAAGCATGATAAGCGTAACAAAATAAAAAAGTAAATGATTCATATGCTTGCATTTGAAATAGAAAAAAGCATCATATGTATGAGTGCTTACCATGTTTCAAAACATTCACAGGGGACTTTCATCTGTGGTATATCATTTAATGCTTCTACTATATATTAATTATAACTAAGAAATCCTAGGCTCAGAGCTGTTACCAAATGGCACAGTTTCTTCCTGCATTACTACACTGCTTTTTGAAGTGCAACAGTGAAGAGAAGCATTTTTAAAACAGAAGTTCAAAGCCATAACAGCAGTTTAAAGCTATTTTATGATTAATCTTTCTAGTGCTTTTTAAACTTTGCATGTTGACATCTCTTTTGATAATACAGTAAAAGTTATGAATGCTCTCCCCAAGTAAACATACATGTATGCACCTACATACATGTGTATGACTTTGCATACAACTATACGTATTCATAGATACATTAAAGGTCTTCTCTGAAGGTTTAAATACTGTTTATTTTGAAGTTTTTGTCAACATGTATTTCTTTTATTATCCTATATATTTTACTGTACTTGGTTTGAAGTTCTGTTGTTTTCTCTGCCTTCGGACCTGAAATGAGAACCCTTCGTTAGCACTGATACAGATAGCTAAGATAGTGTTTTAATTGGAAGAAAATGCCAATGCGAATAGTAATATAGACAACCTTGATTCATGGAAAAAGCATCTTAAAGGAGTTCTGAACATTACATATTCCAAATGATTTGTTTAGTGTTTTTCAATTAAAAGCATTAAAAAAAAAAAGAGAGACAGGTCTCAGATTTAAGAGTACTTGCTGTCAAATATACAGATGAGTACTGCCAGCAGTTGACTGGTGTAGTCTACACTGAAACACATATATTTCTCTTAAGATGATTTATATCTGCCTCAGAGTTATAATTTATTCCTGGCAACACTGTCTATCATAGACTTTTGCCTTAACTTTTGCCAAGGTAAGGAAAGAATGACAAGTTATGTTCATCTATCCTAGGTTCTGAAACAATTCTCAAGCTAAAGAATGACACACATCATCTCAGATACATTAAAATTCTTGCCTGACATTTAAGAGAGCTGTACGAGAGAGCATGGCCCCTATTCATGCTATTGTTCAAAAGGTGTAACAAGAATAACATTAATTTAAACAACAACAACAAAAAAAGAAGACAGAAAGAAAACTAGAGAGGAAAAATCTCAGCTGTTGCTGATTTTTACTTTTCTCAAAATATATTTTTCTGTAGCTGAAGTACAATAATCATGTAAGTTCCTAAAGAAGTGAAGTTTTATGAAAGCATCATATTGTGCCCATATGAGGTAAATTTGTACCACATTTTCTAATTTTAAAACATGTTTAGTGACCAAATATCCATATATTTTGGGAAACCAAAATGTATACTTTTTTATGTCTATGGTATAAATTTATCTATATTTAAATTAATATTCATTAGTATTAAATACA